GGGGACTGCCATTGCTACCTGTTCAGACTCCATGTGGGGACAGGGTCCCCAAGTTAGGAGTCACTGGGTAAGGAACAATTTTGACTCAGCTCCAAGCATCTGTCCGTTGGACACCTGTTCTTCCAAACCACTATAAGGCATATCAGTGACAGCCAATTCGTCATGCAGATATACTTATTGTACCATCTAGAGCCAAGTTTTGAATGATGGCTTTTTTTTTTTTTTTTTTTTTTTGCCCATTTGCAGACCTCTGTTGGGAGGTCCTGTAGAATATTCCTGGATAACCAATATATAGGAGACAATTCCAGATCCAGGGAAGGAAAAGGATGTGTGGAAGGGTTGACCTCACCTCAGTGGTTGAAGGGCAGTCTAAGAAAAAGGATTAGGAAGTTGAGATATAGTAATTAGATCTGAAAGAACAGTATATTCTGGTTCTGTGTCTTTTCAAGTGCTGGAACAGGAAGAGAAAGGGAAGAAGATCAGAGGTACAGGACTGCCCATGGGATAAAATCCAGGCCCCTAACATGGAATAAATATCTCTGGTATCCACCGCACCGTCTCATCTTGCACCTGGAGCTCCAGCCGCCCTGAACTATTTTCAGTTCCCAGAACGTGCCTTCTCTTCCATACCTCCATGTCTTTGTATATGCTGTGAACTCTCCTGGGAAAGTTCTTTCTGCCTCTTGTCCGTATGGAAAACTGCTGCGTACCCTTTAATATTCAGCGGAAATAACTGGCCTTTTATGGAGTGTTCCTGGAGCTTTCCAGGTGTATTAAGTACTTCTTGCTCAGTGCTCCGTGGCCTCTTCAATGTATCTTTGGTGTAACATTCATCACACTGTTCAGGAATTAGTCATTTACATGCTGTTCTCTTGTTGAACAGGACACTCCTAAATTAGGGTAAAGACCCTGTGTCCTTTTTTGTCTCTATATCTCCTGGACCTAGCACATTTACTGGCTGGAAAACTTCTTTATGATTTCAAAACCCCATCTCTGTAGCCCTTGACTGTCTTCTGTTGACAGATGACCAATGGCCTCACCAATCCCTAGTGTATGTTCCTTTTGTTACCAGAATCACCAGCCAATAGCTTGGGGAAGAGTTAAAAGTCAGAACTACAGAGAAAATAAGTGGGAGAAACATAAAAAGCAATTCTCTATCTCAACACAAATAAAACACAGAAAGTGTGCAGCAGCATGCTAATAGGTTCATGAAGGTAGTCATAATTGTTATTATTATCAAATATTTGCAGAACTTCAAAGGGGATAGTCCCACTTTTTTTTTAATGAGAAATTTGGAAGAAAGATTCTTTACAGTCTGGCTATTTTCCCAAATCAGTTGATCTTGAGGTATCATCAGTTTGCAAAAGAGATCTTTGGCTCGCTTCCTCTCCTTCCTTGTCTCCCTCCTCTTCATCACGTTCTGTTGGTTTGGCCAGTGAGCAGACTGAAAAGTCTAAAGAGAAGAGGCTTGGAAATCAGAGAGGTGATTCTAGCCAAAGGACTGAACAAAGAGGGTTTGGATATGGCCTCTATTGTCACTGGAGCAAACAGGGAAAAGTAAGCAAGAGAGGAGACACTTGCCAATATGATCATTTCTGATTGGAAACCTCAGACATTGGGTCTCTGGTGTGCAGCAGACCTGGAGAGGCCCACCATGTGGAACACGTTAATGACATAAGGTTACCTAAGACTGCTTTTTTTTATCTGTTAGACAATGAATTCACTTTTAAGAACCTTACGATAAAATTTTACAAAGCTAGGGTAGAATGATGATGAATAAGTAAGCAATGTATTGCTCACGATAAACTTTGAATAGACATCCAAGTGGCTGAAGATGTTAATGGGTAGTTGGCAGAGACTCTTGTAAGAGAAGATGAGGGTAGAAATGACTGCCCCTGAGAGGGGAACCCAGACTGTTGCAGGTCAGAAATTCCGTGACCAGAACAGAAGAAACCAAAGGAAAACTGAAACCCCTCTGAGACCTGAGTCAAGAAAGGCATAAGCAGCTATAGAAACAATTCTCAAGTCTCCAGTACTAAAGGATTCCTTTTGTCTGCAGAGTCTTGATTTTACATCAAGTTTCTTTTCTCAGTTTTAGGCTGGCTAAAATTCATGAAATAATGGTGCAGTAGTAAAACATAGGGCAAAAATTTACTCCTTTATTTATTCATTCAGTGCATACAAATAGAGATCTGCCCATGCAACAGGCAACAGACCTTAAGCACTGGGACACAGAGAAACATGGGATCCAAAGTAGACACACTAGTGGCAAAGAGAGTCACAGCACACCACCAAATCCTGATATCTAGCACTAGTACTTTCTAACAATTAGATCTATCTGATGAAGCTTAATGGAGTTTGAGGACAAATAAGATGTGGCATAGAGTAAACAAATAGGATTAATTTTTCTAAAAAGAGATATGCTTTGAATATATAAGTAGATTCGGGAAGTAGCTGGGATAAATCTATGAGAGATGGATCCACAGCAAAGCGTGGTGAGGGATGTGTGGTCTCAGTCATTATTTTTCAGTAGTCATGGCCCCTCCCCTACAACTCCACCATCAAAATGAACCTTCTGACAGACCCCTGGACTGGATGGACAGTAGCTGCGTCATATGTGGCGTCTTGTACATGACATTCTTAACAGCTAAGGAAAGTCTTCCTGATGAGGATGTAGAAAGTGTCTGTCACTGTCAGCATTTACTCACTGGTAATGGAACCAGAAAGTACAAGTTTCATTAGAGATTTCAGCCAAGGTCAGAAAGAACTTTCTTAACATCTATTAGAAAACTGAATGTTTTCCTTGGGAAATACCCCAGCAGGGGCTGGATAACCATCCAAGATGGTATCCCAGGAAGAGGAAGTAGGTGGTACCCAAGAACTTTCCCAATTTTTAAATCTATGATTCTACAACTCAGTCTTTCAGTTGGATTTTAGATTTGGACAGATGGGTAAATGGTCACTGACCTATATAGTGTTGACGGCTTAAATAAAATTATGAATGTCTTTGCCACAGTCTTTTTGCCTGTTAGGAAGATGAAATCAAAGTTTTTCTATTTCCTGAATAAATATGACATGGGCAGTATATCAGTGTGTAACTGTTACTTCACAGTCATCTGTCACTTTATTGTGAAGTGAGAAGGACTGTTCTTTGTCCTTGAGCTAATATTTTGTCCCTTGTTGGTACAATGTTCCTGGGAAAAATGGAATAGAAGGTGAAACCACAAAGGGCTTGCCATCTGCAGTGAGCCTCCTGTGCTATTACAGGGAATCCTAAGATGTTCTGATGGGTGGCCAACATTCCAGAACAAAGCAGTGAGATCCATGCCTGACCTATCTCTTTCTTATATGCATCAAAGCTCGGCATGGCTTTATCTGCCTATCCTCTTATTATTCTGAACTCCCTAATTGCCTGGACTCTTTCTCTCCACAAATAGTTCCATGTACTGTATTCAGCCTTAATGTAGGTGACTATGTGGACATGTCTTCTATTCCTACTTTTAACAGATTAACAGCTAATAAACACCATGCAACACCCTCTCTTCTCAATCTCTTCTAAAAATACAGAGTTTGATTTGCCAACATTGGTGTATTTAAAGCCTCCAAGATTCCAGGGAAGACTTTAGAAAGTTAACTGTGCAAGTAAAGCCTGTTCAGAGAGGAAATTTTCCAACACAAACAGCAGCAGCTCATCTGAGAAGAACCTCAAGGTGTCTTCTAGTCATTTGTAAGGAAAGGATATTTGTTCTCGCTTAAAATATAGCTTCTCACTTTATTCTTGGTCTGCAGGACTGAAGAGAACTCTGGAAGTGTATTGCCTAGGGAGGAAGACAGGCACCATAAGTTTCATCTCAAGAGGGAATGCTTGTCTTTTGCAGGAAGGGACGCCATGTTACCTTCTAGTAACTTTGCAATGAAAGGACAATGCCACCTACTCTTCTCTACCCTCCTTGTCCATAGTCCCTGTACTTCTGCTCCTTCCACTTAGATAGAAGTGAAGCAGTTAGTTTTAAAGAAAAGTCAATAATCAGAAGCTTTAACAAAGTTAAAAGTTCAAACTTTAAATGAAGCCCCAACCAATACTCTGTTTTGAGGATATGGAATATCAGCAAGAATATGACCGACATAACTTGGATAGTTACGTTGAATTGATGTCCATCAGTACCTCATATATATGATAGAGAGAATTTATTGAAGGGTAAGGTAGGCAGTGTGTGCATATTTTAATTAATGGAACCTCCAGTATCAATGAAACAGAAGCCTTAATGTATTTGTAAAATACTGGATGTTTCCTGAGGTCCAACGGTCTCATGTATGTGACCCTCAAACACCAGCTTGGTTATTAGATTATAAAATACAGATTAGTATTTAGAGAAATGTATTGGCCTTTTTGCATGAGGTATAATTTCTGGGACCAAACCCTTTCTTTGCCTTCAGGTGGGCATTTTTTGTTGTGGCAGAAACTCAAGTGTATTTGCTTGCTTACTTCTCCTTTTGTTTCTATTGCCCTACTTGTCTCTGTTGATTTAAGCGAATTGACAGTTCCCTGGACTCCACATCCCCACTGGTAGAGTTGAGTCTGGGGCAGGCTGTGTCCATGTACTGCGGTAATGATGATGATATTGTCCTGTGCTTGAGAAACAGTCAGTGCCACTCTCGGCTCAACTCTGGTCATGATATTAGTGACCCTGACCTTTAAAAATTCATAGTTTTTTCGTGCAGACCGGACCTCCTTTGAAGAAAGCTCAGAGTAAAATTCCATCATAGTTATGACTTGCTTGCACATAATCTGAATTGGGTTAATTTCTTCTTCCTTATGCATTTCAGTGTTATCTGTTCCTTGTGCTCTTCTAGACTAATTTCCCGGGTGGTGAGGGGGGTGATGTCTCTCAATCCTATGTATATACCACTTGTCAGACAAACCACTGCAGGATCTTTAAAAAGTCAGTGCATTTCTTGGCATGATTTATAATTTCCTTTTTTGGCTTTTCTCTCTGCAGAACCGGACTGGAAGCCATCATGGAGACTTATGCGTTCTGGAGACCCCCTGTGCGCACACTCACCTTTGAGGATTTCACCACCATGCAAAAGCAGCAAGGTAACACCCTGGGCTGTGGCTTCTTCTTAGTGATAGTGCCGGGGAGAGAGTGGGAGTGGAACTGAATACAGCACATCTGGCCCCAAGCCAAGCCATGGGTTACACCGATTCTTCTCGAAGGAAGAGTACTTGGTAGCTCTGTAAATAACCAAAGCATAACCACTTGTGCAAACAAGCCGGCTCCAGATGCAGCATCCTCTCCCCCTTCCAAAAAGCAAGGTTATGTTCATGATTATGATGGGGGTGAAATTATTATTTCTATGCCTAAGCATTCACATAGCCCTTGGTATTCGAAGAACTACTTCATGATAATTTCATTTATTCCTTAGGGAAGCCTTATCAGTTTTCTTATTCTGGTTTTGTAGAGGAGAAAAAAACTGTTTGAACAATGGGAATGAATTGCTTAGATCTGAGAGTGAGGAGGGGACCACTGCAAGCCCATCTGAATTTTGCAACTTGGGCTCCCTCCTTTTTGGCTGAACACCTGGACAGGCACAACACCTATCTCAAGTTGATGGGCCGGGTGAACATTTTCCTTGCACTGCTTTGTGCTTTACTTCCAGTTTCTCCCTTCTCTGGCAGCTCAGGGTGGGAAGCCTGTGGCCTTAGCACAAATGGCTCGTGGGCTGACCTCAACTCTTTTCCTCAGTCAGTGGCTCTTCCCAGGGCAGGACCCCTTCGCCTCGGGAAGCTTCCCAGAGTGTCAGACACTTTATGAGTCTCCCTCTCCAACCTCCTCCCACCCCCAAAGTGACACTGGTCAAAATTACAGAGTTTACTCTGTTCTGTCACACGGCTGCCATTAATGGAACCCTAAGTTTTGAAATTGTGGCTCTGCCATATGGGAAACCCTTCTAGGACTTGATAATACATTATATTACATTCCCCTCCCAGAGGAGCTTCCGGTAGTTTTCACACTAAATTAGGTTTTGTAATCTAAATTATTGAAGTCTCTCAGGTTTTAAGATGAAGAAGGTGATTAAAAGGATAGGGGCTGGGGGCAGACCACTTGGGTTAGGCTCTTATCACTGCTCCTTCCTAGCTTTGTGACCTTGGCCAAGTCTCCCATCCTTTCTGACACTTAGTTTTCTCATCTGCAGAATGGAAGAATATAGTAGAATTCTTGTGAGGATTAAATGAGACAGTGCATTTAAAAACATATAGGCATGCACTACATGCTGGCAATCATGGTGGCGGTGATGATCATTGTCATCACCATCATGACCACCACCATCTCCATTCCCTCATGTCCCTGTATATGGATACCTGAGAGGAAGATGCCTCAGGGACAAGAGATACTGCCTTTCTGATGATTAACTATTTAAAGCATGATTAGACCAACATCTTCATAGGGATCTGGTGAGACAAGTGATGCAGAATTTCCTTCTGTTTTTTTCTCAATAAATGGCCGAGAAATGGAAGCCCTCTGCATGAAGCCAACTTTCTCCTCATAATTCTGTGAGAGAAGCAGGCTCAGTACATATTCAGGGTGCTGCTTTTGCTCTGAGGCCTCATGGCCCTTAAGAGGCAGAGGTGTTATGACAGTTGGGAGATGTGGGCCTTCATCTTTGATGGCCACTAACTCTCTATATAACCTCGGCTTCTAGTGAGTCTGTTTCCTCACCTGCCAAAGAAGGGTAACTTTTCTTGTGGTCATGTATATAAACATGCTTCATAAATGAAAAATGGGTCATTTTCATGCAAAGACACTTGATCCTGTTTATTTCTGAGGTGGCTTCTTGCTTCTCTGCCCTTGCTTTACTCGCTGACTGTCCAAGCTCGAGCTAATCAGGCATTTTGTATCATGGAGGCTGGTGTGAGAAGGTTTTGGCAGAGATTTTGCCAGTTCCTGAGAGCAGGCATTGGTGGAGACATTGTGTTCACTGCTGTGCTCTCGAGAACTGTCACTGGGCCTGGCAGCCAGGAAGTACCTAATGAAAGGAGGTAGGCAGGGTCACTGACACACGGGCCTGGAGCACAACCACCTGGTATGTGTGTGGATATGGATGTGGAGTGATGATTGCGCTTGACAGTCTACATTTCACCAGCATGTGGGGTGGTTGAGCAGGTATTGACTCTTAGAAAACAGTGGTTTAAGAGAAACTGAGCTTTCTTTCTTTTTTAAATTTTTAAATTTCTTTTCTTGTATTTTAAAAATTATTTCTTTTTTTATTTTTGTTTTTAATTTCTTAAAATATTTTATTTATTTATTTATTTATTTATTTATTTATTTATTTATTTAGCGAGAAAGAGAGCACGAGCAGGGGAGGGGCAGAGAGAGGGGGAGAGGGAGAAGCAGACTTCCTGTTGAGAGAGGAACTCAACGAGGGGCTTTCAGCGATCATGACCTGAGCTGAAAGCAGATACTTAACTGACTGAGCCACCTAGGCACCCCTATTTTTAATTTTTTTTAATTTAAATTTTAGTTAGCATACCGTGCAATATTGGTTTCTGGGGTAGAATTCAGTGATTCACCACTTATATACAACACCCTGTGCTCATCACAACAAATGCCCTCCTTAATATCCATCACCTACCTAGCCCTTCACCCCACCCATCTCCCTCCATCAGCCCTCAGTTTATTCTCTATTGGTAAGAGTCTCTTATGGTTTGTTTCCCTCTCTCTTTTTTTTTTATTTTTGCTTTTCCTGCTTTCCATATGTTCATCTGTTTTCTTTCTTAAATTCCACATATGAGTGAGATCATATGGTCTTTGTCTTTTTTCTGAATGACTTATTTCACTTACTATAATACTCTCTAGCTCCATCCACATCATTGCAAATGGCAAGATTTCATTCTTTTTGATGGCTGTGTAATATTCCTCTCTGTGTGTGTGTGTGTGTGTGTGTGTGTGTGTGTGTGTATGTGTGTGTATGGTATCTTCTTTATCCAGTCATCAGTCGATGGACATTTGGACACTCCATAGTTTGGCTATTGTTGATAATGCTGCTATAAACTTTGGGGTGCATGTACGTCTTCAAATCTGTATTTTCATATCCTTTGGGTAAATGCCTAGTAGTGCATTTGTTGGTTCTTAGGATACTTCCATTTGTAACATTTTGGGGAACCTCCAAACTGTTCCCCAGAGTGGCTGCACCAGTTTGCATTCCCACCAACAAGGCAAGAGGGTTCCGCTTTCTTTGCATCCTTACCAACACTTGTTGCTTCTTGTGTTGTTGATTTTAACCACTCTGACAGGTATGAGGTGGTATCTCATCATGGTTTTGATTTGTTATTTCCCTGATGATGAGTGATGTTGAGCATTTTTTCATGTGTCTGTTGACCATCTGGATGTCTTCTTTAGAAAACTGTCTATTCATGACTTCTGCCCATTTCTTAACTGCATTATTTGTTTTTTGGGTGTTGAGTTTGGTAAGTTCTTTATGGATTTTGGATACTAACCCTTTATCAGATATGTCATTTTCCAAGTATCTTCTCCCATTCCATAGGCTGGCTTTTAGTTTTGTTGATTGGAGAAACTGAACTTTCGAAGCAAAATGTCACACTTGTTTAGTGACTCCATTTTAGTGTGTTTAGGGGGATGAACTTGGAATTATTGGATACATATGGTAGTGGGATTGGGGCTAGAGGAAAAGCCAAAATTCTATTAAATTGTTTAATTGGAGTACATTTTTGAACTATATAGTGAACTTGATCCAGATTCTCATTATTAAACAATACGTGGCTTGGTTTCTTGACGTTAACAAAGGATGTAAAAGAAACAACATCCACTCCCTCTTCCCTTAAGAACTGAGAGTTCCAGTAACTATGGACACTATCACTCATAAAATGAAGAAAAGAGACAGAGCCATCTCTGTTGAACTGTTTTGTGTCTTAGAAGAAGTAGAGAGTGTTGAACTTCTAGTGGAAACTTCAGTGGCTGACTGAGTTTTGTAGTAATTCCCTTTTGGTGAAGAGAGTATTGGGAGCATTGGCACCAAACTTAAGCTCCACATAATGATTGACTCACCCAGGGTCCATATAGCCTCACTGCTTCAAACACATGAATATCTGGCATGTCACATCTGCAGCCCTGGGCCAGTTTTGTGCTCCTGCTGCTGCTGCTGCTGGAGGCTGGATCCACTCTTCTGTCTGAGTGAGGTTAGGATGCTGCTTTTTTCATTCCACCCTTGCTGTCATTTTTATTTCTCTTTCATGAAGACCCATTTGTTGATAAAATTTCAAGGAAAGTACCTTAGTTGAATTAGCCACCGTTTTGCCAAACCTCAGATCTTTCTATTTTAGAAATTATATTGAATGGGTGGTCTGTATGGTTGTTTTCTCCGATGGAGAATTTGCATGGGATTCATCCTCCTCTGCCTTTCACACAAGAAGAAACCAAGGCACAGAGCAGTCTGCTCACACGTCTGCAGCTAAGCGGTGGCAGAAGTGAGTTGAGGATTCCCAAGTGGATCTCCATCTTGACGGGGCACTTGCCTTTCCACCCAGACCACATTTGCTTTCTTCATTCCTACTTACTAGAGCTTTAATTCGCCACAACATTTTTTTTTTAAGTTTACTCTTAGTCTTGATATTTTCTTGTCAACAACTTGAGCATTAACTCTAAATAGGTCAGTATTTTATTTTTATCAAGTCAAGTGTCTGGTCTTACCTTCAGACCTCTTCATTGAGAATTGGCAAGGGAGTTTATACGTTTGGAGAGTCTGGAGATAGGGATTATGTTTCCGGAGTGGCTTCTGCCTGAACACTGCTAGTGGCGGGGACAAAACGAACTAACCACGTAAGTGCTGCTTGGGGGATGTTGACTGAGGCAACGCAAATGGAGAAGAAAAAAGAAATAAGAGCCCAGGCCAGTTATGGCCAAGTGCAGTTCTGTTGTTCTGATGATACATACTGTAGAGCTACTTGTTTGGCCCAAACTGAGGGAGCTTCTGTGAGCACCATCCATCTCCACAGGGTCTGACGATGGTTGTACTATAAGGAACCATCCTGGACCAGTGACACCAGAGCTGGCAGGAAATCTCCATCTATGGAAGTAA